CCCCAAAACCCCAAAACCCCATTTAATCAATTTTGTGAAAATAGAAATATTTAAATCTTCAAAATATTAATGGAAATTATTAAATATTAGTAAGTTCAAGGATCAGATCATTTTTAGAATCCATACTTATACTATGATTTTTATGAAATAGACATCATTTGTTAATTTTCCTACGGAGATTTCATCGGAGTTTTATTTTATTACTATAGTTCTTGGAATCTCCTTCCATCACTTAGCATTTCATTAGCTTTCTAAGTAAAATTATTTGAATTACTCATCTTTGATTTGGAAGTCAGGGCATTATTACTATTATAGTAATTATTCTACTATGATATTTGCTATTATTGAATTTACTACTACAGCTATATATTCAACGGAGTATTATTTGTTGAATTGTTTTTATTTATAGCCTAAGTATTTTAAGCATTTTAAACTTAAAAAGTGTTTTAGTTAGTGTATCTGTTTTCCAAATCATTAATTAAAGAATTTTGAAGTAAAGCATTGATTTGCGCTTCAATGTCATCTTCATTTAAATCACTTTTAATTTCATTGCTCTTTTTATTACCATTCGCAGGCTAGCCATCGCTTGGCTATTGATAGCCCATTATTAAATTCTTAAGTTGACTTTTTAATTCATCGTTATGTCTATCTGCTTCTTAAAACAAAAGTTCGTCCATATCTTATCTTTAATTTTTCTTGAGAGATATTTATGCTTATAGTTGGGACTTATCTCCAGTTTCATTGTTGCTTGGACCTCTTCTTGAATTTTTAATTTTGAGTTCTTTTGACGATTTATTAGAGGATTGCCTTTAAAATTTCTCTCCTCTTCCTGAGGATTATCTTATCATGACATTAATATGATTTGAACTTTGTTAATTCTAAGGTTTTCTTTACTTTGCTTTTTTCCTTTACTTTTACTACCTTTATTTTTCAGCACTCAGCATTTGTTTTTTCCTTATCATCTGAATTTTTTTCGTATATTTTATTAGGTACTTTCTTACTTCTTTCTTAACAATCATCAAAAGTGCTAAACTCTCAAAAACATCCATAAATTAGTAATCAGTGTGTGCATTGTATTTTGGTAGATTAACTTCATCAAGATAGTTAATCTGCTTGAGATAATTGAAATCAAATGTATCATCCCAACCTAGAGGCTCACCTAATAATGCTAAGAATTAGCCATAACTTTGAGCCCTCATAAAAGTTGTTGCCTAATAAAGATTATTTTATCATAATTTACATCGGGATCGAAATGTGACCAGACTTCTCTAAATTTGTCACTAGCATCCTAATCAAGTAATTTATTATCTCTTTCCGTTGTATCTTAAAATCCTTATAAAATAATAGCAATAAAAAGCTTGAGATATATAAGATCAACTAATAAAATGTAAGAAAAGAAGTAAATGTATGGAAAAACTAATCCTCCACAACCTACAGTTGTATCTAAATTGGAAATGATTAATTAATTTATTTACTTCCTGCATTTTTATAGTCTTTAAAAGTAGGATCTTGAATGCATTGATACTAAAGATTTGAGGCTTTTTATAATGAGTACATTAGCTTTGACCAGTTTCCTCCTGTAGATATCCTAATAAGTAAGAGGAAAGCATTTGAGACATTCTAAAAATTAGCATTATGATTTAATTCTCCATTTAGTCTTATGTCTGCAAACATATAAACTCCAAGAATAGAGTAGATAAATATGAATAGTATCAAAAGACTTCCAACGTTTGCCATTGCTGGCAATGTTACTAAAAACGTTTAGAATATAGATTTTAATGATTTGTTCCTTCTAAATAACTTGAAAATTCTTCCAATTCTAAACGATCTAATGATGGTAGTCTATGGTCCAAGCTGATAGCTAGTAGTAGATGCTAAAATAATACTGATTAATGTCATAACGACAATAACTATATCAAAATTATTCCACCCATCTTTAAAATATCTCTTTCCATATGCTATAAACTTCACAATGACTTCAAATGTAAAAATTCCAGCAAAAGCATAATTAAATTTTTCAGTAATTAGATCAAGAATGACTGGCTGATTTTACCACTAAATTGCTAAAATAACAGTGTTCGCAATAATACAAAAATAGATAAATCGTTCAAACCAAACAAATTGAGCCAATTTAAAAAATGGTTATCTCCATTCACTTTGAGGAAGTTTCATCATGAGCATTGGTTTAGATTACACCATCATTATTTTATTTTCTAGCCATTTTCTTTGCTTTTCTGTAAGCAAGAAATTTCTGCCTAATGTTTCTTTTTCTCTGTTATAAGTACTAATCACTACTCCTACAAATAAATTTAGCAGGAAGAAATTTGCGACAATCATGAAAGCCACAAAGAAAAAAGTTAAACCAAAATTTTCCAAATTTTTAGGAGCCATATCATAGCCTCTATTTGCAACCCCTCGATACATTAATTAGGCCCAGTCTACAGTTGTAGATATCATAAATAGAGAAGACATTGCCATCCAAGCATCATCAAAATTCTAGAAGTAATTGTTCCATTCTCCTCCCAAGCATAAGCAATCCCACTTTGTATCTATCATCTTTAAAATTTACTTGCCCCTTGGAACATGATCCATATCACAGAAATAGTATCTACCTTTGAAATAGTTGACACCGATAATTCCAAATATCAAGTAAAATATTAATGAAATAATACCAACATTCAAAATACCCGGAATAGAAACAGCAAGAGATCTAATAGAAATTTTAAGGCCTTAGTTTCTTGAAATGACTCTTAAAGGCCTCAATACTTTGAGTAGCCTTAAAATTTTGATTGAGTTGATATTCTTTGAACTAATTGTAAACGAAATAATCTAAGAAGTATAATTAAATGATAATCAAGATTACTGAGAGCAAAACAACAAAAAAGTCAAGGCAATTCCAACCAATTCTTATATAACTTGTAGATCCACATGAAATGAACCCAAACCCGATAATTTTCATAAACTAAACAATGAATTAATATAAACTTACTGCTTCAATCGTAAAAGCAACCGTTAGAGCAATATCTAAATTTGAAAGAATCTTAGATAAAATGGCATCAGGATCATTGAGAGGATTATCAACAGCGAGTTAAATACTGCTGATTAAAATGATAAATAACATTAAGCCTTCGAAATTTTTGTGTTTGCAATACTTTTTGCAAAATCGTCTAAATTTATTCTTGGGCTAGAAAATCTGAAGTGAGGGTCTCTTTTATTCAAGCTTATCTTATTTGATTTTGAAAGATTTTGCTTCCTCACTGGTATCTTCCTCTTCGTACTATTTGCAAGAGAGTTTGAAATATAGTTTTCTAAGAAGAATTTTAATTCTACTTCCACTAGATTGCTACTTCAACTTATTTACAGTATCTTGATGCACGCTTACTTATTCAAAGTTTTCAATAAGTATTGAAATGAAGAGATTGAGCAAAATGAATTGACCAATAATTAGTAAAGTAATAAAGTAAAAGCTTGAAGTAGTTGAATCAGAAGCTCTGTAGTGATCAAAATAAATTGGAGTCCATCCATCATTAGTTAGGACTATAAAAACAGAGATAAATGCCTCCATAAAGGTATTAAAAGTTGATTAAGGATAGTCTGAATTAGGACCAAAAGAGGGTCTGTTACTTTCATCAAATTTTACTTTGAAGGCAAATAATTCTAGACCAAGTAGAGTGTAGGTGTAAATGAAAAGAAATAGTAAAATAGATATGTTGGAGATATCTTTAACTGTATTGGAAATTACAATTAGCAAATCCTAAAAGTTTTTCCAAACCTTTGCAAGTTGAAATATTCTGATAATTCTAAAAACTCTCAATGCAGAAATCGCACCACTTCCAACACTCTAATCTGAAAAATTATTTAAAATAACAAACTTACTGATGCTAGTGTATTAAAGTGTTAAGTCCAGCATACTAACAAAGACAACTAAGCTATCAAACCAATTGAATTTATCTCTAAAGTAATAAACAAATCCTAATCCTGCCATTTTAAGCAGCAATTCCAAGCCAAAAACTGTAAAAAATGCTAGATTTAAGTACTCTAAAACTTTATCTTCTTTTTCACTTATAGGAAATCTATCTAATGACAATACTATCGCATTCGCCAGAATACAGAGTATTATAAAAATATTGAATGCCTTATGAGTAACTATTTTAAGACAACATTTAAAAAGGAAAAACTTGTTTGCTCTCATCTGCAATATATTTTTTGTCATTTGATTCTCCACTTTAGTAAACATTTTCTCAAGTATGTTCTTTTAGATTAGCTGTGACTTGAATTTATTAAGAATCAATTTTTGAAGGTGGTCTTTAAGGTTGATTTATTTCAAGTTTGCTGATATCTTTAGACTCATGATTGAAACCTAGTCTATCTCTTTTTCTACTTCATCAAGTTCTCTTTGCTTAAGCATTTTCTTAGCCTCAGAATCTTTGGGAGCTTCATCTAATACTCTCTTTTCCCATTCTTACTCTAGAAGTAACTACTTAATGCCTCTTTTAATCTAAGAGACTATTTCTTATTCATTATCTATGCCATATATCTTTCGCTTACTCATTGCATATTTCTTTTTAATATCGTACTCCATTTTCCGAAGAATTTTCTCTTATTGTTCAAACATCGCTTATTGTAGTTTTAGCCGCAAATTAATATCATCAATTGCTTCAGTTTCATGCATTTGCTCTTCGATTTCTTAAAATTTTCTCATTGAAGTTGTTGTCCTTGAAATACTCTAAGGATCTTGAGCAGTCATTTGCTTTTAAATAATATCTAATCCAAATCCCATTGGTGAATCTGGAATTGGTTTTGAAAATGTTTTAATTTTACTGAGATTTGATTATGGGGTAACTGCATCATCTTCTTAAACCAAATCAGACATTAGGGATGACTTAACTAAGGATCCTCTATTATTAGGAGTAGTATCCTTTATCTCCTCATCTTAAACATTTCTATCTAACTACTCAACTTCTAAAGTAATTTAATTTCTTTACTCATCCATTTGCTATGCTTTTTATATATCTTTTTAAGTCTATTAGGTCTCAAAATTTTCAATTATATTATCATCATCACTTGAGGACATATTCAAAATTTCTTATGTCGTTAAATTTTCGTATTTAATTTTTTTATCTGTTTTGAAAACTTTTTCTTTCTCTATGAGCTCTTTTTCCTAATCAATCTGGTAAATTCTTGTAAAATTTGACATAATAACAGCAAGAATTAGATTGAGCAAGAAATATGACCCCAAGACAATGATTGTGCTGCAATAGATTCTAGCAAAGATAGAATTCGAGCCATCTTAAAGCTAAAAAATCATTATTTTTAAAATTCTTACATTATACATCAATTCTGTCCATTGGTCTTTAGTAATAATTTAGAAAACTCCTAAAACAGCCTACCCAAAATTATCAAAAGAGCTTATTCCAAATTGAATCTTTTTATCATAATATACACCATCGTCATCAAGACTTATTCCAACATCTAGAGGGCTACCGCAATATAAATTATCAGGACATTAATATCCTCCATCTGTTGATTATGAACATACTCTGTTGTATATTGGAGATTTCGGCCAGTAATTTTCATTGATTGGGACTGCTGTGAGTCGGCATTTATAGTAAATAATCCCACTAAATTGCTACAGTCCAAGAATTCCAAACAAAATTATCATGAATGAGAGAAAAATAGTTGCATTCCCCAATTCTGGTAGAGATTAAAACAATGTGCTAACTAATCTTCTCATGCTAGGAATAGCATTAATACTTTTTAGAGGTCTCAATACTCTTAATGTCCTTAACGATTTTAGATTCACACTAGTTGCTACCAAATCAAGTAATCTAAATTAATAAAAAGAAAGAATTCGAACCCAAAAATAACAATGAGGAAGTCGATGAAGTTCCACCCATCCCTGAGGTATGCTTTTTTATGAATAATAAATCCCATTGCAAAAACCTTTATTAGAGCTTCAAATAAGAAGAATAATGTGAATCCATCTCCAATCCAATTAAGTATCAAATTATATTAAGTATTAACTTCTCTATCCATATAGTCAAACAAACTTAGACAAATAGAGTTTATAACAATTGCCAGCATTATGAGTCTATCAAACCACCTAAAACATTAGAATACTTTTAAATTATTACTTCCATTCCATAATCCAGACAGCTGTTTTCCTAAAAAAATTCTTATCATCAAAAAGAAATAATGATTTCTTTGATAGTAAAAGTTGTTTCCCGTGAACATTAAATATCCCAGCTAATTATTCTTCCTTTTGCTTAAGAATCTTTATAATTTGCTCTTATTTATCATCCAGTAAATCTTACTCAGTTTCAAAACCTGGAATTGTCACAAGTGTCGGTGGATTTTCCTCTCTTTTCTATTGATCCTTAAGAGTTTATTATCTTTTCTTATAATTTCCAGTTCTTTAAAATTCTTTTTAAGCGGCATCATTGAAATCTAAATAGTCAGTCATTTTAATTTAAATTTCACTGATTATATAAATATAATTTAACTTTTCATTTTGAAATTTAAGTAATTTTTTATCATGGGGTTTTGGGGTTTTGGGGTTTTGGGATT